TTATTATATTGTACAGTGTCTTTGAGTATTCAGAAAAGCGCTTTTTAAATAAAATGTATTATTATTATTATTATTATTATTGTTTCAATACCAAAAATGGAAAATTCTAATATTTTTCATGATAATTAAACTTTTTGAATGTGCATGAATTGCACAATAAAAATGAAAGCATGGTAAGAAATAGATAAATGTGCATATGGTCATTTGGTCACAGATAGCATTTAAAAAAAAAATTATTTATACATTACAGTATAGTACTGCAGTTAAAAAAAATGTGTCCAAAGCTATTAAAAAGTAGTGAAAGTGGTTTGCATTTTGAAAACTAAATATGGCGACTTTGCGTGTGCTCCAGGATTTATAGCCAGCTGATTAAGAAGCCCTCCTACTCAGTGACGCCTGGGGATATTTATTTCTGTCCTTAGTTCTCCAAGCGTCTTTCACAATGGTTCTGTATGTCCGTTTGGATTCGTTTGTATATGAGAGATATTGTATCCCTCGTGAATATTAGGAGAAGTGTGAATCGAAAAATCTGACCGTCATTTTTACACTATTTTTCTTTTCACAAATATTAACTACACAGAACACGGTGCCCCTGGGGTACATGGATAATGTTTTTCAACACTCTCATCTGTCTTCACCTTTTCCCCCTTCTCTCACTTTACTCACGTTGTAGCTCCCTGACGCCGAGACGCGAGAGAGGGGCTGGGGGACCATGTTAGACTAGGCTAAACCAAGGGCAGCTCTCAGGGGCTGCAGGGATTGTTTCTGTGGATGGGTCCTCCTAAAATAAAGGGGCAGGAATACTGTCAGAGGGGCTTGAGGGTATGAATCCAACCTGTTAGCAGCCTTCTCACCCAGCATGATAAATAATGGAGGGTCAAATGGGACAGAAAGGGGATAGGTTTAAATACCTGAGAGAGCAGGCGAAGTAAAGTGATGCTGAGGAAAAGAATGCTTTGTGCCTGAGAGTCGCTTACTTAGGTAGTAGATACTGTAGCCTGATGGAATGGTAGCGTGGGAGTGAGTGAGGGACTGCGGTAAACAGAGGTTTTGGCAGAATTATTTTATGTCCAGTAAGCCCTGGTTTCTCCATTCACTTGCCAAAGGTTTTCATTTTCCTCCTTGTTTGTCTCATTCGGCCACCCAGAGGTGAGCCTGCCCTGCAAAGTACTTCACATTCAACAAAGCCTCCTCACACACGTGCTCACATTTTTTCACTTCCTTACAATGTTGTGGGTGTGTGTTTGTGTCTGCATATGTGTGAATGTAACACACTTTGCAAGATTTACAGCTACCATAGAAAAGCTGCTTCTTAATGTGAAAAGCAACTGCATGTGGGTGTGTTTGTGTGTGCACGGTGGGATGGTGTGAGTGCTTCTGGAGTGCTTGACTGTCAGCTAAGTTGATTCCATTTTCCATTCATTGTTTATCTTTTTGTACACACCTCTGCACTCCTGATTAAATGTGTTTGCTTAACGGGACAGTTTACTGTTGCTAGTAATTGCTAGGCCTGGTATGTTAGTGCTTTTGTTGTAGTGTGTAACGAAGTGTTATACCCCTGCCTGGAGAGTAGAGGTTTTGTTCTGGACACGCTCTAAGACAGCTGTGTGTTTGAGTGTGTGTTTCTGGCCAAATGTGAATTTAGAGGCCCCTGGACAGTGGTGAGAGACTGTGTGATAGCGATCTGATTCAGATGAACTGCAGGCATGCAAGGGGAAGGTCGGGTTATCTTGTGGTCCCTAGTGGCGGCCTGCTAGGACACATATCACAGCATGACAGTCTGCTCCTACGGGTGCACACACACCCACGCTGACACAGTAGTGAACAGAACAGCGCTGGTCTGGCCATGCGCCGACATGCTTTATGGATGAGCATATTTGCTGAGGTCTCCCTCCGCACTGCAGTGTCAGTAACCAGATGAAGACTGGCACGGCCCCCACATCCTGCCTCTCTCCTCCTACATATGGTTTTCACATATGTCTTCTTTTCGATGTTTGGATTAGCCTGCCAAGGTCAGACGTAGGTCAGCTGTGGAAGGCTCAACCACTTTGAGCTCTGGCCCTTAACTGTGCCGCCTGCTGTCTAGTACTCAGCTAACCCTCGAGCTTTGAAGGCAAAGCTCAAGGGGCTTTGTGCGAACTAACATCATGTTTCTTTTACTTGACCATCCAGCAGTTTGACACACATGCATACTCACCCACACAAACACAAAGGCCTGCATGTGTGTGCGCATGTTCGCTCACATACCCTCCCAGTTGATCTCCTTTTGACAGACATATGACCTTGACTTTCCCCTCTGTGATGTTTTATAGAGAGTCTGGCTGCTCTTTGGTGCTGTCACCATTTCAATAGATAGATGAATGTTTGGGTGGAGGAAGGCAGGCGGGGATAGACAGATGATAGAGCCATCAGCTTTCATGGGTGGAGGAGGGCCCATTCACATGTGACATCACAGAGACATCTCTCACGCCCAGCATCAGGAAACCCAGGCTGCCCCTGGAGATTTACTGGTTATATATTTGGCCAACAGGATCAGATGAATAAAGAAGAAACCGGGCTGGTATTGGCCCATTTGGGTCAGAGAGGGTCATTTACCTCATATAAGTCATTAGAATGTTTTTCCACTGTTTTTGTAGTTAGGTGGTCTTGGCCCCAAGTTCAAAGCTTTACTGGGGGAATAAATCATTCATCAGGAGAAAGAGGAAAGGAAAACAGAGCTAAGGTTTCACAGAGGTCTAATAATATCAGTAGTTACAACAGTTGTTGTAACTCCATCCTACATGGAATTACAGGGGGCTAACATTTACATTTACTTTGTACCGTGAAATAATACGAGTGCCACACATTTTTTGGCAATTAAAATTAAAGTATTTGAAAGTCAACTAATCATCTCTCTGCTGTTTTCAGTTCTTCGATATTCATAGCTATCCAAAAAGCCCTCTTGAAGTATCTCAACCTACCCGAATCTCAAGCTAAATGATAATGATAGATTGTTTTGCAAATACTATTTGACCTGCATCTGTCACCCTTGTCAATCACTCTTCGTCTGTTTTCCCATTTCTGTTGCCATACTGATATAAATAGCAAACATTGACCTGTTTGTGTTTGTGTGTTTCTCAGATTCGTGTCGACGGACCTCCTCATGGTGGTGTCCAGTATGAGACAATATCGGTCATCAAGGATGGCAGCCCTATCCTGCGAGATATGGCCTTTTCCCTTGACCGCAACTACCTCTACGTCATGTCTGACAGACAAGTAAGTGTTAGAAAGACACCTGCATGTAAACCTGTGCTATTATACAAGTGCCCTCATGCAAGAGAAAGGATGGTTTAAGTGTGTCTCTCTGTGTGTGCATATGTTTAAATGTCAGGCAAAGGGTGTGAATGTGTGTGTGCTCTGGCAGGGCCCAAGATGGCCCACCTCTCAACATCACCAGCACCACCCTCTGTTAGCTATAAATAACCTGGGTGGCACAGCGGGGGACGTTGTGACAGCATTTGATAATGAAGGAGAACAATGAGGGCAGGGAGAAAGAAAGAAATAAAGAGACAAGGAAAAGACAAGGTAGAATGAGAGAGAGAGAGAGAGAAAGATGAAGGGCACTAGCCGGCTGGCTGGCTGAGGCAGAGGATGGGAGGAAGAGTGATGAGGGAAAGAAGGACAGCTGGAGGAGCGTATGACTTAGACAGAGTAAAAAGAGACACTGAAAGAAAAAGAGAGAGACAGAGTGCAAGGTCATCCTTTCACACTTCTAATGAAGTGACACAGCATTGCAGGGCGGGTGGGAAGCAGCCAATAGTCATCAATGCAACTGACATACTAAGTAGGCAGAAGAGGCGAGGGCAGAAAAGGGTGGAAAGGGACACAAGGACAGAGTAGGGGTGAGGTGATGAGTGGAGAGGAGGGGACAACATGATAGGCCAGAAAAGAGATGAAAAGTGGAGGAGAAGTGACGGGAGGAGAGGAGAGGAGAGGAGCAGCAGCTGCAGGGGAGCGTGGCAGCGCAGCAACCCTAGAGACAGACGACGTGCGAGGCTGTCAGTGTGAGGTGATAGATTGCCATCCTCTCTCCTTATCTCTGCTTTTAACACACTCAACTACTGGCTGGCCAAAGCTTACAGGTTAGGAGCTGCGGATGTGGTGTGAAGGAGTTATTTAGACAATAGTGTCTATTGCTGAGAGGTGCGAAAAGATGAGCAAGCAGATTTACTGTAATCTACATTTGTTTTTTTCCCCACAGTGTCTCTGACTAACACACAAAAAAATTAAAAGTTTTTCAGACACTTTTCTGTTGTAAGAGTAAAAATATAACAATGTCAACTGCAATCATAGTACCAGTAATAGCTCCGTACTTTAACCAATATTACTGCTGAGATGCTTTTATTATTTTACAGAAATAATATCTGAACAAATGATAGGCCAAATTATTTAAAACCTCAAATCTCTCTTTGATTAACAGTTCAGCTATCAAAATATTTTATTGTACAGCTAGTATTTAATTGCCTTTTTATGGATATCTCCAGGATAAGAACTCAAATCTGCTTCTTTCATGCACAAACACAATATATGCACATGTATCTGACAGTGAGATGATGACTCTGTAGCAAGGCGTGACATAGATTCCACAAGTAAAGAGGAGTTTGTACTGAGTCTAAAGTCTGTTTCCCATATTTATCAAATCCTTTATTCCCATTTATTCCGCAGATGAAACAAGCTTTTGATGTTGAGCTCATAACTGCTAGTCATCTGAATGAGAAGTGATGTTGGTGATTATTATTAGTATTCAGCTTGTAGACTCTTCTGTTTTGCTCTCCAGGGGTTGGGGAGGATCGAAGCAGACAGACACACACACACATACTGAAATGCTTTCAACTACTTTGGGGATGTTACCCTGCATGTTCAAGGATACCACTCGATAGTCATACCTGACAGAATAACTGGATTGGGATTTAGTGTGGCCACACACTCATTCAGCCTTTTTCCATGAATTGCGATTCTGGACAGTTAAACCAACATGAAATAGCTCTCTCTCACAAAACTGTAATACAGAAAATTTGACTTTATTCTGTGATGTTCTTAATTTAGATAAATCTAATAACATCTTAAAAAATGTATCTGTTAATGATCTGAATGAACGACTAGACTTTACCAATGTGCCACAATAATGTAATGTTTTTAAGTTAAGCTTTTTCAAGCAAATATTCATATATGTAATTGTTTGCAATTAAATCATGAATATTCCTGTAAATCCGCCCCTGGTCATGAGACATGATGCGTAATATATTGTGTATTCTGTCTGACGTAACCTCTTTCTACTCAGGGAGATGTATTTGCGATGTATAATATTGGGTACCGCATTGTATTTTTCAGTAAAGCACCAGCACTATCCACTAAAACACACAGCAGCCGCCTTCAAACCAGCCCTTTCGCACTAGCATTTTGCGGAAAAGATCTATTTGACCTTTATCTCATCGTTAGCCTAAATGTCACCTCAAGCTACACTTGAAGTCAGACATTCAGGGCATCATGAGATCTGTCTTGTCTGAGCTCCACTTGTTCCCATGTGTCTGGCGGATGCCGTATGAGGCCATGCCATGGTGATGGGAGACGCTAAGAACAAAGGAGGGATGATATCAAACAGAAAGCAGGGCAGATTTGGCTCCAGTTGCATTTCCTACTCTGAATAACAAAGAGGCCCTCTGTGTTTGGCACAGTGGGAAAGAGAGAATACAGAGAGACCAAGGGAGAGACAGACAGACATTGAATGAGAGAGAGAGTAATATTTGCTCAGCGAGGCCATGCTCCACAATCTGGACTCTCGCTCTCTCCAGTCCTCACACCTGTCTGTGTGTGTTGTGGCGAAGCTGAGAATCGTGGGATGTGCGAGGCCTTTGTAAACACAAACATGCAGGCAGGCACCCACAGGGACACACACAAACACACACTCACACACACACACGGAGCACATGCTCCCTCTGTTTTCATTTGCATAGGTACCGACATAATGCACTGGCACTCGCAATCACGTGTACACTTGCACAAAAAAACTATAATTACAGACACATGCAAGCAGCAGTCTCTCATTCAGTATTCAAATGGAATCTCCATAAGGCTTTCAGAGGCTTTTCATCTAGCCTTTTTCTCTCACCCGCATATATAGATTACACCTACTGCATATGTATAGATATTCTTCAGTCTCAGTCTCTTAAACATCCACTGCCTACCTCAAGTTATCTTTCAGTATGTGAAGGAACTTTCTGCTCTCTCTCCTTCTCATTTGTTTCTTTGTTTCACTCCCACACCAGACACCATCATTCACTCACCCCCAAACATATTTAATAGCTCCCTGTTTCATATTGGATCCGTGGTGCTGCCATGTTAAACTGTGCTTTTGTTTTTTAGATGTAATGACAATAGCATCCACCATATTAATGATGTGGTGAGATTGACCCAGTGCGAGGCAGCGCAGTGGAACTGATGAAAAGACCTGGCTCACTGACTTTCTCTTTTCCAGGAGCAGTATGAGTGTCTGTGTGTGTGTGTGTGTGTGTGTGTAGGGTGCTGTATCATTACTGACAGTCCTGAAATACATAGCAGGAGGTTTTCATCTCAAGATTTATCTTCAGACATCTGTGTATATCCACTATGGTGCCTCAACCTCAAAAACACGCTTGTTGCATCATCTCTGGATTTTCACAGGACTCACACTTTGAGCTTTGTGTCTTCCAACTGTCCTTGTGAATCCTGTGATTCTGCAGATCCATTGTATGGATTCCTGCCAGATCACATGTTTGAGTCATGTTGCGTGACTGCTTCTATATTTAGACCAATAATCCAGCGATTTTGGTACTTGGCTGGGTAGCAATGCCGGCGGCAGACGTTGTGATGGAGAGAAAAAGGTCATAGCTGTTTTGGGAGATTCAGCTGAGCTGCCTCCTAGACACGTCCTCGACTTTTTCTCTCTCCTTTTTTTCTGTCTTTTCCTCAGTCTGCGTCATATGAAATGCCCCCTGAAATGTCTTACATTCCTAAAACACCTCACTGCATTTAATATTACATCAAAAGCAGTAGATTTCAAACTGAATACCACATCTCTTCACTGCTGTAACAAAGCAGGCATGGGTATGTACTACATAACATCTGCCTAAGTTTTACATGTTAAAGCAGGGGGCTTTAACTTTTATCTATAAGTCCTACTTTACATACAGCCAGATAGACGGTGCCTAGAGTAATACTCCAATGCCATAACAATTGCAGCAGAGGCTCTAATCAAACAGGTAGAAAGAGTATTCATGTGTGAATGGCAGCTGGAGCAGAGCTAAACCACTGGTGCTTTTGCCAGCTCATGCAAATTCAGTGTGTTGGATCTGCATGAGTGTTGGCCTCATCCCCACCGACTGGAGCCTGTGTCTTTCTCCCTCTGTCTCATTCATTACCCAACACTCCACTCTTCTTTTTTCCCTCTTTCTCGTGTTTCTTATTTCAGGATGTGTTTGCCTGAGAATGCAAAAGGGCCTCACTTGTTTCCTTTTAACACTGTGACCAGCCCTGTATTTGTGTATGTTTGTGTGTGCCGTACTGCATTTTGGGAGTTCAAGCCAACGCAGGGACATACAAGCATGCCTGACACCGTGGCCCGCGAGAGGCCTTAAGCAGCATTCGTTCTCTTTGTTGTCGGTTTATCAACACAATGCAGCGCACTGGGATAAATGGCGACAACTACTCCAGTATCGAATGGGGTCTTTTGGGGCCTGGATTATCAACATTTTTATGAGGCCTTTTCATTCCCTTTGTGGTGTATTGTGCTGTTATGGCCGCTGGCACCCAGCAGTAGGGCAAGCACTCATCACACACGGTTGAGAATCAGTGACTGCATTATGTCGGTTGCTTTGGTCAGCGGCCAGTACGCAGAGCCCAGGCTATAATGTATTATTCATGGGGAACAATCAAGATTTAACATCTGAAAGGGTTTTGAAGTGATACCTGTGGCGTGGCCTTAGTTCTGTCTGAAAAGGTTTTTGAAAACACCTTAATAAAAAAAAAAAAGTACTCAGGGAACCACACACACAAAAAAAAGTGGTTACCTTTTTATCATGTCTTAATTAAATCCCAAGAAAAGAAGCAGGTGTTGACTTTGTAATGGAGCTCAATGGTTTTTGTAATGTTTTATGGCTGTGGCAGACAGGAGTACATAATAGACCTTAACAGACTTAATAGTGTTCTCAGTGAAATAGTGGCCCTCTAATTGCCAGCTC